TTGAGCTTTCCAGGCAAGCGCTTACTCTACTGAGCTATCTCCCTGGCCCCAAATTCTTCTCAGGGCAGCTCACCCAGTGACCTCACCACCTCTACTAGGTCCCGCCCCTCTAAGGTCCTCCAGTTCAAAATACCACTACCCTGAGAAGCAAGCCTCCAATACCTGCAGGCAGACCACATCCAGATCACGCAGCACGCTGAAAAGCTGTTTTTTTTAAATAAAGTAAAATAGATTAGAGAAGTAAGATTAAGAACACTGGTGAGGGGCCAGGGAGATGGCTCAGTGGAATAAGCACTTCCCTGGCAAGCACAAGGGCCTGAGTTCAACCCCCAGTTCTGCCAAAAAAAAAGAAAGAAAGAAAGAAAGAAAGAAAGAAAGAAAGAAAGAAAGAAAGAAAGAAAGAAAGAAAACTGGTGAATAACCTGTGTTAAATTCTTATGATGACTCTATTTTTTTAACCTGTGATCTAACAAGGAGAAGCGTACCTGAACCAATAAAAGAAAATACAGCTGATCCCTTCAACCATGTGGATCTGACATATGTGGGTCCACCTGCACTCAGATTTTGTTTTTAGAGACCTGTGACAATTTGAAAAATCTCACATATGATTCAGGTAACAGAAACATCAAAAAAATGATAATAAGGAAAAAGGTGTATCACAAATGCATAAAATATGAAAATAATTGTCTATTTCATCATTTGTCATCATAGATTACATACAAATCTATTGTAAAAAGGCAAATATTATCAAAAGCTACACACATAAACACAGAAATGGTACATGGTACCATTCAGAGTTGAAAGAAATGTAAACCAACACAAAGATGCAGCACTAAATCTACACATATTAGGGCCAGCAAGATACTTCAGTGGACTAAGCACTTGCTTTGGCAAGCACAGGATCAGGGTTCGAACCCTCGTCCAGCAGGCCTCACTAGCCCTGCCCCCAGGGAACCCTGAGCCAGTGAATGAGTCCAGGCGTGGTGGCAAATGCCTGTAATGCCAGCGCTGGGGAGGCTGAAAACAGGAGGATCACGACGAGTCCAAGCTGCAGAGTGAGACCCTGGACCAAATATATATTTAAAAAAAAAAAAAGTGGATGGGAACACAGTGATGTTTTTAATTCACCAGAATTCACTCTACACATTTTGAATTGATTCATGACATTGAGGCAGCCACATAAAAACACTCATGAAAAAAGACTTTGAGGCGAAAGACAAGACTTCTGCAACCAAGGGCTGGTGAGACGGCTCAGTGGAATAAGCGTTTCCCTGGCAAGTGCAAGGGCCTGAGTTCAATCCATGGTTCCACAAAAAAAAAAAAAATACAAAGTGGCAAGAGTAATGAGACAAGTGTGTTTGTAGCAAGGGCGAATTTTTTGAGTGAGATAATGGCTGTGTCTTTTGCTGTAATTGTTTTACATTAAACATCCACTGCACAATTCAATCCTACTTCATACCTGTATAAAACTCTGTGATAATGATCTTTGCTGAGAAGTCTCTCTAGTCAGTAAAAGTGACCTCTTCTGAATACGTTTTTTTTGTTTCTTTTTTTTTTTTTTTTTTTTTTTTTTGGCGGAACTGGGGATTGAACTCAGGCCCTTGTGCTTGCCAAAGAAGCACTTATCCACTGAGCCATCTCCCCGGCCCAGAAGGGTGAGATTTTGACTTTTTCTTTTTTTTGGCCGAATCAGGGATTGAACTCAGATCCTTGCGCTTGCCAGGGAAGCACTCACTCTACTGAGCCATCTCCCCCGCCAAGTGACCTCTTCTGGATCTCATATTTTTTATCACGTACCATACATAGAGCACACAAAATACATGTTAAATAACTTTATGTTGTGGTAAGCAGCAGACATCTGGTCAACAACAGGCTACTAGTTAAGTTTTGGTGAAGTCAAAAGTTATATAAAATTGCTGTGTGAGTTATTGGTACTCCCAACTCTTGTGTCACTCAAGAGCCAAGTATATTTGAAATGGGGATGTCCCAAAAAAATCTTCAGCTATTCTAAGTACACTACACATGTGACAATACGGTAGTAGAACTTCTTAACCTTCCTTCTTTTTCCTAATTATGTTGCAAGACAAGACTTCTGCAATCCTCCCGCAGCTGGTCAACTTCGGGGCAAGCAGGAAATTATTAAGCAATAGTTGTACAAGTGTGAGATTTCATGTTGTGCAGAATTTGCAGCATATGCACCCCAAACAAAAAAAACAAAACAACAACACACGTACACACACAGAGTGTGAATAATTCAAGATGGCTGCTTCCTTGCCATTTAATTTTATATAATGCACTGAACTCTACTTCATTCTTATTGTACAACTGGGTCTCCAGGGTACCAGCCATGTTTAAGGTATTAATACTTTTCAAGTAGAACAGTGTACGTAAGTCTATGGGAAACTCTCTCTGTCTCTGTCACGGTCTCTGTTTCAATCTCAGTCTCATTCTCTCTCTCTCTCTCTCTCTCTCTCTCTCTCTCTCTCTCTCACACACACACACACACACACACACACACACAACCCTAACAATACAATTATTAGAGCCAGAAATACAATATTTCCTCTACTTTTTTCAGGAAAGTATTCTAAGTTTCCCGCCCCTCAGCCCCTAACTCGACCTGATAAAATCTGAACTGCCTTGAGACCTGAGAACACAAGAGAATGACAGAAAGAAAACTTCGACCAGACTGAAAGGACCCAGAAGAAAACAGCTCAGAGGGTCCTATCCATGGGATCACTTCTCACGCAGCCACTTCACCTCCTGGAAGCCCTTTATTGCTAGAAGACGTCTACACTCACTTCTTCTCCTGCCCAGCCTCTCCCTTCCTCTTACTGTCTCATCCTGGAAACTCCCAGCCATCCTTGGTGCCATCTCTAAGCTAGAAACAGTCCCCACCTGCTAATAAAAGACCTTAATCAGGACCAATGTGCTCAACAAATGGCAAACGTATGTACCTCCCACTTCATGGCCTCAGAATGCTTGACTGTCCTTAAGAATCAACATTCGTCTACTTTCAAACTCTTGTCTCAGTTTATATTTCTACTCATTAAACTTATCCTTCATGAGACTATTATTCGACATATTTTTCAATTGTTTCTAATGACAGTAAAACATTTAAGTGTACCGGAAGCTCCTGTGGGTCTGTCTTGGAGTTGTACACAACCATTTTATTAGGCTATTTCAATTAGAAATTTATTTCAAGTTCAAGGAACAAAGGTACAAGCTTCTGAAACACAAACCATTTAAAAATCAGAGTGTGCAGGGCTGGGGCTATAGGTCAGCGATAGAGCTTTGGGGTTAGCATGTATAACACCCCGAGCTTGATCCACATTACTGCAAAAAGAAAGAAAGAAAAATCAAGGAGTGGGGGCTGGAGAGATGGCTCAGTGGTCTAAAGCACCTACTTGGAATAAGCTTGGCAAAGCACAGGGACCGCGGTTCAATCCCCCAGCGCCACATGCCAGCCAGCCGCGCCCCCTGGTGGGCTGAGCTGGCCACACACACACACACACACACACAATAAATGTTAAAAATAAATTAAAAAAAAATCAAGGAGTGCTTATCACTCAGATGGGATTGTGAGACTTAAGGTAATTGCCTATTACAAAACAAATTGTATGCATAACAATTACTTTTCTTTTGATGAATCTTCTTTCATTAAAAGGCCTCCAGCTGATATCAAAATAGCAGTTGGGACCAGCCTGCTATATTTATGACTATAAAGAAAAATCCTTAGAAATATATACAGGAATGAAGAGAAAAGAATGCTAAAGAAAAGGTCCTTATAAAAAGTTAACATGCACCAAGCAATGGCCGTGACTCCTCCACATGGTTAACACTGACAAAGGTTCTACAATCTGAGGTACAGGATCTCAGGATAAATCCTGAGGGGATTTCACTGACCTTATCAGACTCAAAAGCTACAACTCTTGCTGCATAGGTCCTGCTTTACCTTGGCCTTAACCATCCAGCAGAAAAGTATAAAAACGAAATATAAGAAGTAAAGCCATGCTGTTATGTTGAGCTGTAGGGGACTCAGGTCAACAATTTCTGACATTGCCAGTCAAGCAGAAGGCCCAATACTATTATGGACTACTGGACTCTTTTAGAATATTTTGCTGAGTTTACACACCTATAATATTTAAATGATGGAACTTAACAAAAAAAGGGTATACAGATGAATGTCCATTTTGTATTTGTGTATTCAAATTGGTTAGGATAGATATATAGTTACATTCTCTTAATGAATAGAGGGATTTGTTCTAATAGTGTTTGTAAATAGGATATCAAGTCCGCATCTTGTACAGCAATTAACCACTAGGAAGAATGTATGCAATGTGTGAATTATTGAAACTGTCCTACCAATTTGATTTGAAACTGTCTCATTGCTATTTGTTTATCAATAAAATTATGGGAAAAAAGTTAACATGCAGAAAACAAATGATAAAATAACACAATACATTACAAAGTAAACCAATTCTTTTTTTTAACTTTTTTGTTTATTTATTTTTACATTTATTTAGTGTGTGTGTGTGTGTGTGTGTGTGTGGCCAGCTCAGCCCACCAGGGGGCGGGGCTGGCTGGCATGTGGTGCTGGGGGATCGAACCGCGGTCCCTGTGCTTTGCCAAGCTTGTTCCAAGTAGGTGCTTTAGACCACTGAGCCATCTCTCCAGCCCATAAAGTAAACCAATTCTTGAAGATTTCTTTTTAATATGAAGTTAATTGTAATGTAAATAATAACATTTTCATCGTTTTATTAAAGATGTAACCACAATGAATAAAAAACAATTAAACTCCAGCACTTTTACTACTACTGTACTATTTTTATTTTTTGTATGTTTTCTGCCTGGTACCATTCTGACCCTACCAAATCACACATATATTGTACACATACAACCAGCAACTTGGGGTAAGAAATAAGGTCTTTTTTTTTTTTTTCTTCTTTCCAGTACCAAGGACTGAACCCAGGACCTTGCACTTGCCAGGCTGGCACTTATGCCTCTGAGCTGTATCCCTGGCCCCATCAGGTCTGATTTATGTTAACATTCAAGTTAACTCGAGTCTCCTGGCCCACTTAGAGCCAGAATGTTGTTCTTCATTCCTGCTACTTTAGGTGAGCAAGGCCTTCTAAGACCAAGGTCAGTCCTGGTTCCTAAGTCCTGAAAGAGAAAACAAACCCATAGAGAACACATAAATGCATGCCTCCGTATTCAGTCCTCCAGGACCATCAATATCCTCCCCCTGTGACAACCAGGCCTATGGCGGCCAGCCCTGGCCAAAACTCCAGACTCCCTCTTTTATGTGGGAAGCTTCCCCTGAGGGCTTCTGGCCCTTCCTCCTGGACTATCTTTCTGAAACCTTTCATAGTAACATCTCTGGACTCTGAAGCCCAAAGAGAAAAAGTTCAAGTCTTCCCGAAGACTTCTGAGTCCCTAGGCCAGTGGTGGCCAAACCTACGTGCAGGTGTTATTTGCTTTTCTTTTAAGACAAAAGATGCAAACGTATGAGTTGCTTTTTCTAAACTAAAACCTGAAGCGTAGTTGCTTTGCAATAAGTGGGTTTTATTTGGGGTTGCATGTTGGGCACGGCTCTCTAAAAAGGTTCTCAATCACTGCCCTAGGTCAATTCGCCTTCCTTTTGTTTTAATCAAACTTCAAGTTCTCTAAAATAAGAGATGATGGGGCCGGGGAGATGGCTCGGTAAGATAAGAGCTTGACTGGCAAATGCAAGGATCTGAGTTCAATCCCCGGTTCTGCAAAAAAAATAAAATAAAATAAAATAAAATAAGAGGTGTTAAGAAAAAATAAAATAAAATAAAGGGTGTTAGAATATACACAGGCAATGGGTTTGCCCCATTAAGTCAATGTTCGTTATCTTCACATGCCTCTAGCTAAAGTGGCCGCCTTAGGAGCTTACCCCAAGTGACTGCTCCTAGTGATCCAATCTCTCCATCACAAGAAACAGAAGGGGCTGGTCACTTCAGGCAATTAGCCCTTGATTAAGATAGCAGCAGCCATCACCAATGGTTAAACTTAGCCCACATGACTCTAAGCATAACATGCATATTACATTGTGTTCTGCTTTTTCCATTTACATTATACTAAAGTTTTGACCCTACACTTTCTTCCACCAGCGTCCTCTTCCACAAGGTTGGGCATTTCTCCCCTCTCTCCCTGATGCGTTGGGAGCTCCTGAAGCCTACTGAAGCCGTATCCACCAGATCATACATTTGTTTGGACATTCAGTAATTATGTATTGATCCCCCAGGCCCTGTGCTAGGAGCTAGGCACGCATCAGTCAGCAGACTGCAGCAAACTGCTAAATATCCAGCCACAACCCTCGGTGGGGAGAGCTGCACTGGAGACTATTCCATTCAAACGGACACAAGAGAGTGACCAAGAGAGAAAGGGGACATTCCTAAAGGTGGGGGCTGCTTGAGAGAGTCTCGAAGGATAAGTATGCATTTGCAGGAAAAGACGAACATTTCAGGCAAAAGACATGCGACAGGCGCAGACTTTGAAGAGCTCCAGATGGTGCTGCGCTAGCTGGAGCCAGTGACACAAGTAGGAAAGTGACTAGGCGAGAAACTCACAAGCCTCGTGATATTACTCTTCGTTTGCTGCACAGAGGACTCAATGCTGCAAGCCAGGGTCTGCAAGTACTTCATGGGAAGGGCCCGACAGCACGCATCTTAGGCTTTGCAAGCTGTACCATCTCTGCCCAAATCACCCACATTCTGCCACCTGGGCACAAAACCAGAACTTGTAGGCAAGGCAGAAAGAAATAGGCCTAGCTGTGTTTCAACAGTAAGTTACTTATTGGCTCTTAAATTTTAATGTCATATGATGTTCGTATGTCATTAAATATTTTTTTTTAATTTTTTTTTATTTTATTTATTTGAGAGACAGAGAG